TCGCCCACTATATATATATATATATATATATATATATATATATTCTGAGAGTCAAACCCATCACTGTTTATTGTGAAATTGGTTTTCGTAGATCCAATGATCATGTGCTATTTCTTTCCGTTGGGTCTTCAAACATCATCATACATGACATTAACCCCATTGAAGCTAATAAAATCATTACTTCATGCATTTGCATAAAACGTGTCATATCGAACATCAGCTATTAATAATAGTGTCATATTATACTTTATCTATCTATCTATCTATCTATCTATCTATCTATCTATCTATCTATCTATCTATCTATCTATCTATCTATCTATCTATCTATCTATCTATCTATCTATCTATCTATCTATCTATCTATCTATCTNACACACACACACACACACACACACACACAGAGAGCGCTCGCTCGCTCGCGCGCAGGGCTGGAGGGGGTGATGTGAGTGCGGTGGCGTGACGCGGGTTTCTTTTACGCTCGCCCGTTGATTTTTTCTCTTTCTATTTCTCTCGCTAGCGGACATCACTAGCTCTATAGGAAACAATTTGGATTTCCTCGCCGTGGCTGCGACCGAGAAAGTACGTTAAGTGAGCTGAGCGCCATTGCTGCTAGCAGTAATATTTCAATTGTGATTTTTCTTTCGCATGTCCCATCTGCAGTTATGCAGAGTGTTGTACTGTTCATATAATGCAGCACGAGAGTGTGACATGATAATGGATGTGGTATAACCATAGAAATATATAGGGACACTATATTCCCTCTATCCTATATATCCTATATATATATAGTCTGACTAGCATATTATTTCTATGGGTATAACGCATGCGCAGCAGTGGTGACGATGACGTGATAGCGAAGGTACATAATAGAACAGAAACTATACATAGTCGACAGAGGACGATTTCAGATTTCGTCAGCGCATGCGCAGCGAACGTCGCGTCCGACCGACGTAATAAAGTTTAACATCGACCATGCTGACTAGATCGGACGCGCAATGATTTGACATCGGACGTTAGTGGATAGGCCTACACATAGATATCTATCCATCTATCTATCTATATATCTATCTATCTATCTATCTATCTATCTATCTATCTATCTATCTATCTATCTA